AATAAATAAATAAATTCAGAGAGAGAGAGAGAGAGAGAGAGTGTGTGAAAGAGAGTAGTAGTAGAAAGATAGAAATAAGTAAATAAATAAGTATTATTATTATTATTATTAAAATTGACACACTTTCTAATTTATTTTTGAAAAATTCCTATTGTTTTTTTTTTTTTATTGCTAACGATACAGATTAATAAATGACAGATGAATTTTTATTAATATACTAATTGAAAGACTATATATGATTATTTTTTTAAATTAATCTAATTTTATTTTTTTTTTTTCTAGAAATTTTTGGCGTCTAATTTTTTTTTTTTCAATATATTATTTACTTTTACACAATAATAATAATATCATCCGAATATAATTTATTTAAATAATAATAATAATAATAATAATAATAATAATAATAATAATAATAATAATAATAATAATAATAATAATAATAATAATAATAATAATAATAACGAAAAAACAATCAAAACAATAAATGGATTTCACTATTTTTTTTCAAACAATAAATAAATTTTTTATTATTAAATAACGCAATATTATTATCATTATTATTTTTACGTAAATAAAATTTTTAATTTATAACAAATACATATAATTATTTTATAAAAAAAAAATTTAAATAAATTAAATTTCCCCCCCTCTCCCTCTCTTACATTAAATTATTTTCGTTAACGAAAAAAAAAAAAAATTTTTTTAAAAAAATAATTTCAATAATAATAATAATTCACATGAAAAAAAAAATGGCGTTTATCGGGATGTTTGTTTGTATTTTACGTAAAACCACCAAACCTTAAAAAAAATTAATAATAATAATAATTAACGTATAATAATTGAAATCAATATCGAACGAAACGCGCACAAAACAAAAGTTATCATTATAGTAGTATCATTATGATTATTAAAAATAAATCAGTTATTAATTAAATAAAATCATTATTATTATTATTTATTTATTAGCCGACGTATAATTTATTAATAAATAAATCGCTGCATTTGAGCATTCTACATTACTTTAAGCATTAAATTATTTAATTAATTATTTATTTATTTCACTTAATTAAAACTAATTATTAATTTTTATTTATTTATTTATTTATACTCTCAATTTATAATTTTATTCCTAATTATATGTATTGCACAAGTTCTTCTAAAAAATATATATATATATATATGTACACGCCCACGCCCACGCACACACGCACTCACACGCGTATATATATATTTTATTTTCGGAGTATATTAATATATATTTAATATATATATATATATATATATATATAGTATTTATCATTATTATTATTATTATATTATTTATTTGCATTTATTTCGTGTTAAAATAAGTGCGCCTTCACACAAAAACTCTTTATTTATTTATTTATTTAAATTTACTAGAAAAAAAAATCATTATTATTATTTTTTTAATTACATAAACAGAAGAAGAACTACCATAATAAAAATTTATATAGTTTAATAAAATTTTTAAATAAATAAATAAAATTTATGTGAAACAATAAAAATATAGAAAAAAGAAAAAGAAGAGAAAATTAATTCAATTATATTTTTCTTTGATATGGTAAATAATTTTTTTTTTTTTTGGTTAAGGCTTATTATTATTATTAATTTTATTTGTTATTAATTATTATTATTATTATTAATCTAAATTAATGTTTATGTTATTAGCATTTACTCAAGGCAGAGGTTATGTATTATTTATTTTTTATGAATATCTGTAACGTGAATAAATAAGAAAAAAAAATTAAGTTTTGCTTAAATAATTTTTATATTCACGGGGTTGTCACATGTAAATTTTTATTATTAATAATAATAACAATTATTATTATTATTATTATTGTGGTATGTACTTATTTAAATAACGATGAACGTGAACCGGTTGAAATTATTAATATTTTCACACACCCCGTAAAATTTAATTTAAAAAAAAAAAAAAAAATTATTTTTTATAAAATAACAATAAATAATAATAATAATTTTATTTGTGTATAATAAAATCTTTAGACTCAAATAAATTAATAAATAAATAACAACAAAAAAACAATAATAATAATTATAAATTTAAGGAGGTCCTTATTATTTTTTTAAATTTGAAATCACAGATTATGAGAGTCTTCTTAGCAAATATAAAGTTTTTATCCCCTCCCCCATTTTTTTTAAAAATATTTTTTCAATTAATTAATTAATTAATTTATTTATATTATTATTTTTATTAACCCACACCATTGAATAACCTTTAAAAGTTTTTTATTTATTTTATTTTATTTTATTTTATTTTTTATTAAAATAAATCATCATTTCAATTTATTTTATTTTCCCTAACATTTACATTATTATTATTATTATTTCGCATCAAGCAAACCAATAGTAATAATAATAATAATAATTATCATTTTATTAAGAAAGGACTGATTTTTCTAACTTTATTTAACTTTAATTGAATTTTATTATTAATATATATCTATTTACATACGTAAAAGTATGTTTTATATTTTATTATTATTATTATTATTATTATTATTATTATTGCTGACTCGTTGTAAAGAATAATAGAAAATTTTAAAATTAAAAAACGTCAGAGCAGGTGCATTTATGTTATATATATAAATAATTTTTTTTGGTTTTTTTTTTGTATCACAAGGTCAATAATTTAAAGCTCAGTCATACCAATTTAAAAAAAAAAAAAATTAATAAAAAATAAAAAATTACTTGAATAAATAATAATAATAATAATAATAATAATAATAATAATAATAATAATAATAATAACAATAACAAAAACTACCATTCAAAACGAAACAAAAAAAAAAAAGGTTTACTTCCTATAATTATAATTATTATTAATATTAATTTTTGTTTATAATTTTTGTCATTGAAAAGCAGATTCTTTGTGAAAAGTGTCGGATTTATGAAAAATAGGTTTGCTACTCCTATTCGTATGTAAACCTAATTCTTGAGCTGCGAAATTAATTTCGGATTTGGGACGGGGAAGGTTGAGTATGTGAAGACTGGCACGTCCCAATTCGTGCAATGATTTTTCGCTCGATTCGTGTTCCATTGATTCTTCCGACGTGTTTACTTGTTCAGCTTGTTCAGCTAATGCATTAACAACGGCATTTATTGTTTTACTTTCGCTTCCCATATCTTCTTCTTCCTCCTCACGATGAGAAACGATTTTAGGATTTTTTCCTATTTTGTTCAGTCTGTAAATAATAACGTGTTATGAAAAATAAAATCATGGAAAAATGAATGAATGAATGAGTGAGGAGGGTATTTGAAAAAAAAAACAAGAACCTTTCTGCTGCCACACTCTCCATTGTGCGACGCATAAGAGGATATTGATCCAAAACCGTATTAAAATGCTCGACTGACAACGAAAATAAATTACAATAAGTTTCTGCTCGAACACTGGCTACCCTTCTTGCATTTGTAAGTAAGCAAATTTCTCCGAAATAAGAACCGTCGCTTAGACTTGTTGCCACTTCCCCGTTTGCCATAACAATATCAACGATACCTTCTTGTATGAAATACATTTTTGTACCTATCGTACCTTCTTTAATTATAATGTCTCCTGAAAATTTACCAAAAAAAAAAGCATTTTTTATTTATTTAATTTCTTTTTCTCGACGTGAGAGGATTAATACTTTTTTTTTTTATGTTTACCTGGTTGGAAGACTTCGTATCGTAATTTAGTTACGACGTCGCTAACAAAATTTGAATCCGCATTGGCAAAAAATGGCACAGAAGCAACGAGAGATCTACAGTTGTAATTAATCACATCCTAAAACGGGAAACGGGGGGGGGGAAAATTTATATATATAAATTATTAAATTGTATTGATTAATAATAATAATAATAATCACCTCTCTTAGCTTTTCCGATAATTCTCCTAAAATTAATTCTTCGTCGAAAAATTTTCCCTGATAACGATGTTCAAAATATTCTGTTATTCTCTGTCTCATTTCTCTAGGAAGTTTTCTATAGGCCATATATTCTTCCACTTGTTTAACCTATAATTTATTTATTTATTTATTACTCGTGACGTCATTAAAAAAATTTAAATATCCTCGTGTGTGTATTTAAAGTTTTTTTTTTTTTAAATAGGATTTTATACGGAAAATTAAGTTTTCTTTCTTAATAATAATAATGTTCATTAAGTTTTTTATACATTCTCTCTCAACAAAAAAAAAGAATTTAAAAATTTTGTTTAAGTAATTACACCGGTGAAAATTTTAAATTTAATTTTCCTCTATCCCCTCCTCTCAATCTCCTCCCCCTTCTTTCTACTCCTCTCAATCTCCTCCTCTTACTTCTTTAAAAAAAAAAAATTTTATTTTATGTTTTAACATTTTTGTTTATAGTTGAAAATTAATTTTTTAAAGCTTTGCATATTTTTTTTTTAAATAAAAAATTTATGTCGGTTGTATAATTTATAACGATGCGATGAAGAGTAATTAAAAAATTTATAAAACTCGTAATAATAAATGTAAGAACATAAATTTTGTTTGTTTTGTTTGTTTCCCCCCTCCCCACGATTCGAAACGATTAAGAAAAAAATTAATTTATTTATTTTATTATTTGTTAAGGTTTTTAAAAATTATTATTTGAATAATTTTAAATGTTTGTTGTTGTTGTTGTTTTAAAATAAAGTTTTTTAATTGTTTAAACGTTTAAAATTTTTTTTTTTTATCCGAGTTTATTAACTATAATATTTATTTTTGTCACAAATTTAAATTTTTTTTAAATCCGATTTTAATTAATTAAATAAGATTTTATTTCGATTGATTGATTGATTGATTTATCGTCAAGATTTAATTCTTATAACAAAAAAATATATATATATTTACTTTTTCTCTATATTGTCGTCTGGAAGAATCCAAACTTTGTATAAGATTAGTAGCATGACCTAAAAATAAGGCATAGCAAGTGGCACCGCTTATCATTGATAACATCGTCAACCACATATCCGTTAAACTTTGAGGAGGGAATCTTCCATACCCTATACACAACATGTGAGACATTGCTTTGAAAAGTGCCCAAGAATATTGTTCCAACCAGAAAGCTTCCTGAAATCGTGACACGCACACGCACACACACACACACACACACACAATAAAAAAAAAACGTATCAATTAAAAATATTCACTCGATTTAACAATTTTTTTTTTTTTTTTATTATAAAATTTTGGGTCAACGAATATTATTACAATTTAATTAACTATAAAAAAAAAAAAATTTTATGCAATTGTTTTTTTTTGACAAACCATGCAATTATTTATTTAAAAAAAAAAAAATTCAATTAATTTATACTACCTGAAAAAAAATATGCATCGTTAAAATTGCACACACACTCATACACAAATTATTTTAATTAAAAAATTAATTTAAAAAAAAAACCTTATATACCTGTAGTTCGTTAATAGCAACCCAGGAATTAGATGGAAATCCTTGAAGCATCGGCACAAGAAATTGAAGGCAGCCAGACCAATGTCCAATGAGAAGCATCATACATATAAGATTGAATATTCTCATGAAGACACTCGCCATATTGAGAAACTATAATTAAATCGAAAATAAAATTCATCATTGGATCGTTTTTTTTCTCTCTCTTCCTTTTTTTTCCTTTGTTAAATCCCTAATTGTAAATTTATTCATTCCTTTTTTTTTTTATCAACACCAAAAGTTAAATTCCCAATTTTTTTTTAATATATAATAATGATAATAACAAATATGTATTAATTTTAAATAATTTTTTTTTTTTTTTTTTAACGACGGTGAAAAGCTTATTAAATGAAACCATAAGCAAAAAAAAAATTTTATTAGGGGCGGGGAAAGGCGTGGGGGTTAGGGGTGTGGGGGAACGAACGATTCGTTTTTAAAAATATGTAAACTTTAAAAATAAAAAATAAAAAAAATCGAACAGATAAAACATAAAAAAAAAAAAAACGAATTAAGGTTCGATTATTCATAAATGTTTAATAAAACCAAACAAACATGATTTACGACATGTTTTAATACAAATTATTATTGTTACTATTATTATTATTATTATTATGGTTTTAAAGTAAAATTTATTGATATTTAATCGACGTCAAAAAAATGGAAAAAAATTATACAATACGTTGTTGTTGTTATTTATTTAAAAAAAAAAATTATAAATCAATAACAATCATTTGACAAAAACCTTTTTTTTTTTTAAAATCCTTTTTAAAAAATTTCCTTTTGTTTGTTTGTCGTTATTAATGTTTAATTTATGTTTTACAACACTTTCAATAAAAAAAAAATTTTATTAAATCATTTATTTATTATCATTTCAAAAAAAAAAAAAAAAATGATTAGTAATACGTAAAAAAAAAAAAAATTTTCTTTTGCCGATTGAGGGGGAGGGACGAAGGGATGAAAAAGAGGGAAGGGGTGGGAAGGGGCTGAACTTTATATCTGTAAAGAAAATTCATTATAAGGAATCACTTGATAAAAAAAAAATTTCAAACTGTCACATAAATATTAATAAATATAAATACGATATTTAAAATTTAATTTTTCCTCCGACAAAATATTTATTTTCTTTTACTTAAAAATCAATAAAATATTTTCGAAAACTTTTTTCGATTTCTAAAAATTTCCTTTTTTTTTTTTAAAAAACGTTTAATTTCCTTTTTATCAAATAAGTAAACCTTCCCCCCCCGTATAAAATATTATTCGAAAAAAAAAACGTTTATTAAAGGAAATAAAATAATTATTTATTGAAAATGTCAACATTTATTATTATTATCGAAACCTGAATCATTTTAACTTACTACCGTAATTTTATTAAATAATAATAATAATAATAATAATAATAATAATACGATTGACCTTTTTACGTTTAATAAATAAATATTATTACCGGATTAATTTATTAATTTTTTTTTTATTACTGAGTCATGAGAAGAAAATTTTCTTTTTTTATAGGAAAAACGATCGATATCATCTACGTAACTCTAATCAATATTTGATATTCACTAAAATAATAATAATAATAATAATAATAATAATAATAATAATAATAATAATAATAGTAATTTATTTTTTTGAATCGCAATATTAAATCAGACTTTAAACTAAATTATTTTTTTAGTTATAACTAACATCCATTGAAAGTTTTATTGGCAATGGTTTCTGCCATTATTAGTAATTTTTTTTTTTTTTTTAAAAGGCAGAGACGTAATAAATTATTTATTATTATTACTACTACTACTAAAAACAATAATAATAATAATTTTTTACAAGATTCCGTTCCGCGTTGTTTTTTTTTCAAGTCATTAAAATAATAATAATAATAATATTAAAATTGTTTGCGAAGAAAATTCACATTCACAGCGTGAAAAACTATGAAAATTGTTTATTAAAAACAAACGTTATGTTAAAATCACCCTAACTTTTATAAATAAAAAAAAAAAAACAATCGAAGACATTTGCAATTCTCAAAAAAAAAAAAAAAAAAATTTTAATAATACCAACTTAAAAAAAAAAAAATTCGGGAAAAAAATTATTTTCTTAAACAAAACGAATTAAATCATTTCCGTTTTACTTATTTTAAATAATTATAATAATAATTTGAGAATCGCAAATATATAAAAATATGTTTTGTAATAATAATAATAATAATAATAATAATAAATTTAATATACTGTTTTCGATTACTACAAAAAAAAAATAAAAATAAATAAATAAATTTAATTAATTAATTTACTTTACTTTACTTTTTATATATAAGCGAAACTACAAAAGCAATTATAAGCGATTACACTATCATATTACTTTTGGATAAATTTTTTTTGGTTATTCATTGAATTTAATTTTAAGGACGGGGGGTGGGGATATAAGGGGGGTGTACGAGGGGTAGTGGTGGTGGGAATGTATATTTTTTACGTTCGGCACAAAACAAAACAAAATGGCCTTTAAAAAAACCTGTAATTAATGAAATAATTTTTTTATTTATTTAAATAGCCATAATTTTTTTAGGGCCATCCTACCTTTTATATATAAATTTTGCTATCGTTATTTTGCTCCGCAAAACACTTCACCGAACCCGAAAGCTTTAAGTTTACAAAGAGAGAGAGAGAGAGAAAGAGAGAGACTACAAAACATTTTTTTTTTTATTATTCCATCCTACAAACACACACACAGGATCAACTATCCACCTATGAAAGCAGCCATGAAATAAATAATTTTTTTTTTAAATATCTTTTTCCATTTATCATCATCATCATCATTATTATTATCATCCCATCTTATTTTCATTTATTTTTGCAAAAAAAAAAAAACAAAAACAAAAAAAATTGTTTCATTTTAAATTTTCGTCAATAAAATGTCATCGTTATAAATACTTTTTTTTAAACTGTTAATTATTTTTATACACGCACGCGTACGCACACGCACACTCACAAGAGCAACCTTTTGCAATAATTATTTGATTAAATAATCAATCAATAATAATAATGATTAAATAATTATTTATTATCGAAATAATAACGTTCGTAAAGTCATTTTTTTATTAGAAAATTTAGGCGTTCGAAAAAAAAGGAAAAGAAATAGTAAAGAAAAAGAAAAAAAAAAGAAAAGAAAAGCGAAGAAGCAGAATAAGGAAAATTAGGTAAGAAAAATTAAATAATGATAATAATAATAATAATAAAAACATGCAAATAAATAAATAATTTACGCATGTTTATATATATGTAAAAAATTTTCAAACTTATGTACATAATATATATACATGCATGCGTATGAATTGTGAAGCAGCGACTTTTGAAATCAATATTTATCACAAAATGGACGATTATGGAAAAATGATGAGAGGGAGGCGGGGAGGGAAGGGAGGAAAAGTATAAAATAATTGATAAATATAATATCAATCGCTGCTTAACAATAATAATAAAATTTTAAAATGTAAAAAAGAAAAAAATAAATAAAAAATTTGCAGACATAAGGCAGCCATGCACATATATATGCATTAAGATCAGGTTTTACTTATGATCCTTTTTTTTATGCAAATAATCAGCAATGCAATCGAATTTTTTTTTTTTTTTTTTTTAGCTTTGAGCGGTTGGTATTAGCCAATATTTAATCAGCCTTACGAGGTTACCTTGAAAATAAGATTGCTTTTGCTGAACTTCTTTTTGTTCGTTGTTACGTCACAACTGTAGCGACCCTGCCTCCTTTCGGTGCGTTTTTTTTGAAGGTTCTGCAAGATCTAAAAACAGAGCGAGAACAACCATAGAGCAAGCTGAGAATTCCTTGCCAATCTTGCACAGCAAGAAACTTCATGTTAATAAGACTCTTTTTTTATTAATAATAATAATAATAATAATTTTAATATGCGTTATAAATAAATATATATATACATTTTTAATAAAAAAAAAATTTATGCGAGGAAACGCGATTAGGAGAAAAGAGAGAGAAAAAAAAATTTTTTTTTCTTGTTAAACAAAAATTTGATTTTTTTTATTAATATCATTAATTGAAGCTCTTATTAAAGTTAATAAATAATAATAATAATAAGAAAATTAAAATTTAAAATATCGCCTCATTATCGTTATAAGAAAGAGAAAAGCATAAGTTAAGCATTAAGGAACAAATTTATTTATTATTTTTATAGACAACACATATAATGTCACGGTGCAAATTTTGAAAGTGTTAATAAGAAAGTTATTTATTTATTTATTTTTTTTACAATAAATGTATGTAAATATAATTAAAAGAAGATTTTTTTTTTTTTTTAAAAAAAGAAAAACAAGAAGAAAGAAGTGCTTAAGTCCGGAAGAAAACAGAAAAAAATGGATAAATCAACATTTAGTGTGGCATTCAACATATAAAACCATTGCTTATGTACCACAATTTATATATAAAAAACAAATAAAATAAATAATTCTTTGACATTTTTTTTTATAAACCTGAATCCTCTCACGAGAAAAAATTAAATAAATAAATAATAGTAATAATAGAACCATAAATGATGTACAATAGTAATAATTCAAGCGTATTTAGCGCGAAGATACAAACATCAAAAAAAAAATAAATAAATAAGTGAATGAACGAGTGATTGAACGAATGATTGAATAAATGAATGAATGAGTGAATGAATGAATGAATGAATGAATGAAAAAAAAAATGTTTACCTTTTTATAATAATTGTCTTATTAAAACAATTTTTTTTTTTCGACCTCTCTTGAAATTCTAGGATTTTTTTTGCTTTTTTTTTTTGTTTGTTTTTGTTTGTTTGGCTGGCTCATGCTGCTTTTGAGCAGTTAGAATGTGCTATAGCAGCTTACATGCAAACTTATGCGAATTGCAGTTTTTGTCGCAGTCACACTACAACTAAGCTCCAGTATTAGAAAAAATATAAATAATAATAATAATAGCATGAAAGAAAAAAAAAATTCGGCGTTAGAGCAATTTTTTCGGGGGTGAAGGGACGGGGGGGGACTTCGAAAGGGATTTTTATTATTGATTTTATTTACCAATCAATTGAAAAAATTAGAGAATGAGAATTCGAAAAAAAAAAAAAAATTATTTTTCCGACGAATTTTCCGTTAAAATTTTCCCCACTTTTTTTTCCCTCTTCTTACACGTAAGTTAAAATTAATAATTTCAAAAAAAAAAAAAACAAACGAAACAATGAAAATCAGGTACGAATAACAACCTAAGGAATTTTTAATATTTAATTTTTCACTTCAACTTTGACATTTTTATTCGTCATTTAAATAATTTATTATTATTATACGTTTCGTTAATTTCATTCCTAACGGAAATCCATCGATAAAAAAAAGAAAATAGTAATAATAATAATAATAATAACAATTCGAAGTATTTCACATAACAATAATAATAATAATAATAATTAATTTCGTGACAAAATAAATAAATATGTAATTATTGTGGGGTCCTCAAGCGAGAGCGTTACAAACACCAAAACGTGAAATTAATTTTTTTTTCTCATGTTGGTACTTTGTTAAAAATTTGTTTGTTTTGTTTGCACGCGTGGTTTTTTACACGTACATTAAAATTATTAAATATATAATTAATAAATAAAAAAAATTTGTTTTCGTCGTAGGCAAAAAAAAAAAATTAAACGTTTGCGTTTAATTTCATTTAAAAAAAAGTATCATTATCATTATTATCATTATTATTATTCAAAGGTGGTTTAGTATCATTTATAAATTAATTGTAGTTTTTTATATAAAGCAACTGTCAACAATTGTCGTCACGTAAAAAAATAATAAATAATAATTTACAAAAAAAAAAAAAAAAAAAAAAAGAAAAATTTTTTTTTTTCGTAAAGCAGAAGAGATAAAAATTTCATGGTTTCAAATTCAAAATGGCGTGTTACCATTTGTTCCATTTTTTTTTTGTTTCGTATTTTTTTTTTCAAGGAAGGGGGGGAGGGTAGGGAGAGAGGGAGGATTAGGGAATATTCCATTGAAGATAAACGTTATCGATCAAGAGAGAGACAGACATTTAAATAATTAATTTTTATAATTTTCCTTTTGAAATCAATCGTAGTATCGTGGGGGGGGGGTGGCGGGGGAGGAAACGCAAAAAAACGAATTTTTTTTTATAAAAAGGTTTGTTCGAAAGGTTTAAAAAAAAAAATTTATATATATATATGTGTATCGGTAATAAAGACGGATTCGAGTATTATAAAAAAAATGATAAATTGACTTTTTTTTTTTTGCCTTTCTTACGATAAATTATGCACGACAAAAATTTGGAACAAAATCAAAAAAATGTAAAAAAAATTTCAAATGATCAATCAATACCTTAAAAATTTTTTTTAAAAATATAATTAATGTTTTCCCGTAACCTTTGACCCCATTTTTTTTTTTAAATTGTTAATTATTT